GAACGGATTAATATCGTAAGGCAGGGGTCCACTGTATTTTACGATGTTTTCATGTGTTTTATGATTGTTCATGGTTCAATAGGTTAACCTCTAAACAGTCCAAACGTGTATATACGTTCTCTCGCCCGGTGTCCTGAATATTTTGAAAAATAAAAAAAAAAAATTTATTGAAATAGAGAAATTTTTTCAAAGTGTTATAGGATTAAAATAAAAAAATAGGGTCAGTACTTACTGTGATATGAGGCTGCAAAGTTGGCACTTAATGCTCACCTGACGGCAACATCGAGTCCTGCTGTTTGCAGAAATGTTGCCGATATACCTTTTTTTTCCTCATTTTTGTATTTGATATAATTTTTATGTTCTGATAATTACAATTTATAGTAGTTCTTGTCATTTCATAACCAATCTTTGTTCTGATGCTAGTATTAGGTACTGAAATTGTACTCAAATTGTCACAAACACATTGACAGGTGGACATTTACACCTGCCATGGTCATTTACTGTTGTCTAGGAATATATACAAAGTATTTATAGGTCCCAGCAATGTTTTGGATACATGGGAGTAGAGAAGAAGAAGGAAGGAAGAAGAAAGTAGTAGTAGTTCCCTTGAAGCATGATGTCAGTGACGAGCATCAGGAGGGCAGTGATAAGATAAGGGATGACATTTGATGGGTGCCTGTGAGGGTGCAGAGATAAGATGAGATAAGGGATGACATTTGATGGGTGCCTGCAGGGTGCAGAGATGAGATGAGTTAAGGGATGCCATTTGATGGGCGCCTTCGAGGGTGCAGAGATGATGAGCACTTGCAAAGGTGAAGAGATAAGATGAGATAAGGGATGACATTTGATGAACGTTGGCATCTCTGTCTCTGCTTATCTGTCTGTCTGTGTCTGCTTGTCTCTCTCTCTGTCTGAGAGAAAGCCACTGTGAACCAACAGGTATTCTTATACATTATATCTACAAGCACAGTATAGCACTTAGGATTTTTTAGGTTATCCTAGGTAATTTACAGTATGTATAATTGTATTTGTGTACCTGTGAGACAGAGATAAGAAGAGATAGGCAGAGACAGATATACGGACAGGTAGACAGAGACAGGTAGACAGAGACAGGTAGACAGAAACAGGTAGACACAGACAGATAGAGACAGATAAACAGAGACTTGGTTCAACATCGCTTTCCAGGGTCAACAGGCCCTCTCTCAGACTCGTTCTCAGGGTTGCCAAATTTTCAAAAAAAAAAAAGAAAAAAATTATTATTTTCTTATGAAAAGATATAGAATCTTTTCCCGATCATAATGACACTAAAAGTGTGAAATTTGATGGAAAACTTACGAAATTATGCTGTCGCGAAGTTAGCGGTCTCGACAATGTTTATGCATTGGCGATTTTGCCTACTTTGAGCCCTATTTTCCGCCAATTCCAGTGTACTAGTCTACAAAAATCATAACTTTCGCTAGAACTCCATTTTTTCTATCAAATGAGTACAAGAAACCACCCATTTACCGATTTCAACTATCCAGAAAAGTGGTCAGAATTTAGCAATTTTGCCAATTTCACACAAATTTCAAAAGAGGCCAATTTCCAAATAGGGTCCAGAATAAACAAGAAAGACATTCCTGGCACTAAAATAACTTTTCTCTGTTCATTAGCCACGTCCCCATGCTCCTCTTACATTCTTTTGCTTTCCATTTTGAATTTTTATTCTCACAAAAAATAGAAGATTTACTGTTATGCAGACTGCTGCATTAGTGTAGAAATGGTATAAATAATATCAGTGCACTTGTGATAGAATATTGGACTCACCAGTTGATGTGTTTTGGACGCGTAGCATGATTTGTTTACTTTTGCATTTTGGCAAAAATTGAAGATTTCTGTTACTTTGAGCTCTATTTCAAGGTACAGGTCTGCCATCACAAATCCGGCAATCAGTTATTCGGTTCCTTCAGTTATTCGGCACTAATTTTGGCTAGCATAATTTCAAATTTCCAGGGTCGCTACACCAACCTGCTGGTACTGTTTGGTGGCGCTACTTGCTGCATAAGTCATTCCAATTTCTTTTTCTCCATTTATTGTTTTAACCTGCTTACTTTTAGCCCTAGCCATGGTTCCAGTGAATAAAAGAAATGCTTCTCATTATGTAAAGCACCTACACAGTACATTATCCATTAAAGATAAGGTGGCTTTGAAGCCACTGTCAGTTGCCATGAGCTCAGTCTCATGAAGCAGGAGAATATGCTTTATTATTACGCTAATATCAACACTACAGCTTATTTGCCTATCACAATTGATCTAATATGACATAGGAAACAATATAAATAACATAAAACATGTTAAATACTCCAGAATGAATAATATTTGGCATAACACTGGGCAGTTCGACAGAGTTATGAAGAGGATATGGTAAACAAATACCATTCTCCTATCCTTGTCTTGGGGGCTTATATTAGAGAAAACGGAGTATAGCACAGGCTAACTATGATATACACTTGTACTCCACCATAAACATGAAACAAAAAAGTTATTTTCTCTGTAGATTATCACACATAGCAGCATATGTGTAGAGAACCTAGGATAGCCCCAAAAAAGTCAACATGGCTTATTTTTAGTACCTGGCTTGGATTAGCCATATAAGATTTTTGGTAAATATTCGATTCCCAGCCAGGGTAGAAACATTAGGCGTGTTTCTTTACACCTGTTGTCTATGTTTACCCATTAGTAAATGAGTACCTGGGTGTTAGTCGACTAGTGTGGATGTTATCCTGGGACACTGACCTAATTTTCTTGAAATACTCAGCATAACAAGTGCCTTTCTATACAGTAGTATGTCACTGATGTCAGCTAGGCCTGTATACCTTGTACATGTACGTGTAGTAAATAAAGATATTATTATTATTATTATTATTATTATTACATTATTATTATTATTTTCTCAGTTGTTTGTTGGGTTATCTTACTGAAACTTGGGCAATGTATGATGGAAAGATACTTCTTCACGTACACCAAAATTGAAAGAAATCAGACCATAAATAGCGGAGTTCACTTCTCAGCCATTAGCGGCCGCTTAGCGGTATATTTTTGTATGGTTGTTATGGTTATATTCTCATTTTTCGGTCTCATTTGATAGAATGAAAGATATATTACAGTAATAGATATGATTTTGATTGCTTTCATGACGAAAAGTACATTGAAATTGCGCTCACAGTAGCGAAAATGTTCTATATGGTACAATTTACCGTATGGTACAATGCACCATATGGTACATTGTACCATGTAGTACAGGGTACAGGGACCCTAATGGAAATAAGTCTGTCTGACTTATTTGGGTTATCCTAGGTTCTCCAAACATATGCTGCTAAGTATGATATTCTATGTTTACCAATGTGTATACCTAAATAAACTTACGATGCCACATGCACTTGAGTAAGTTTATTCAGTTGTACAGAAATACAGTTACATGGATTATTATACATAGCAGCATATGTATAAAATCCTAAGATAACCCAAAAAAGTCAGGGTGGCTTATTTCCATAGGGATCCTTGTATCTGTACCATATGGTGTCCTGTACTGTATGGTACAATGGTACCATATGGTTCAAAACCATAGAATTCCTCTTCAGCTCCACTTCCATCAGTCTTAGAACTGTAAGTTGTGAAGAGGAGAGTCAGAATTCGCTTGGAGAGTGAGTGGGGAGTGAGAGCTTCCTTGCCGCCAGGCACAATGAACAAAGCTACTTTGGTGGCATTCCCACAATGCCATGCGGGTGTCCATATTTTTTCTATAGTGTGCACACTGACCACTCAGACCCATTCTCTCAGATGTAGGCCTACCAGCCTTCTCATGCTAAATTTGACGCCGCTAGAATTTTGGCGTAGATCTACGGTTTGGACCCTCAACGTAAAGCCGTAGATCTACGGCACGGACCTGAAAGGGTTAATATGGTGCACACCGAGTGTTAAGACCCATTCTATGCTGACCAGGCATCTCAGGCCAATTGTGCCAAATGTGGAGGCAGGAAAAATAAAGCGTATATATATGTTTGGGGCGCTAGCAGTAAGAACGTATATGTACATTTGGACTGTTTACAGGTTAAGGAAGCAGTATTGTTAGGTTAAGTAAATACTATTATTATATTTCCCTACAATATATTAGGGCACCAAACATTCGCGATTTTTCAACATTCACGAGGTTCTTGATCCCCTAACCCTCGCGAATGTGGAGGGAGACCTGTACAGTAATTTTATTCTATATGACAATTATCAGAAACATAATCCCCAACGCTCTTATATGGGTGTGAAGCATGGGTGATGAATGTTGCAGCGAGGAGAAGGCTGGAGGCAATGGAGATGTCATGTCTGAGGGCAGTGTGTGGTGTGAATATAATGCAAACAATTCGTAGTTTGGAAGTTAGGAGGAGGTGTGGGATTGCCAAAACTGTTGTCCAGAGGGCTGAGGAAGGGTTGTTGAGGTGGTTCAGACGTGTAGAGAGAATGGAGCGAAACAGAATGACTTCAAGAGTGTATCAGTCTGTAGTGGAAGGAAGGCGGTGTAGGGGTCTGCCTAGGAAAGGTTGGAGGGAGGGGGTAAAGGAGGTTTTGTGTGCAAAGTGCTTGGACTTCCAGCGGGCATGCGTGAGCGTGTTTGATAGGAGTGAATGATGGTGAAAGTTTTTCTTTTTCGGGCCACCCTGCCTTGGTGGGAATCGACCAGTGTGCTAATAAAATAAAAAATAATCCCCATGCTATATAAGGTTCAACTGAATTTCTTATAGTTGAGTAATTGATAGATGGAACTGACTGCAGTAGGATGGATGTCTACTTCAGCTGTTGGAAATTTAAAAAATCATTTAACGGATAAGTTTAGATGACTCCACACACATTTAATCATATACAGCATAGGCAATTTAGAATATTGAGAACTAAAGAAAGTTAGAAAGAATCTGACCTTGTCATAATTCATTTTTATGCAACAAATCTTTTATGTAATTGTTTCTTACAAGGTTACAAGAGAACATCTGCGTCAGCCTTGGAATGATGGTTCTATAATGGGCTTTGTTGGCCGACGTCAAGCAGAAGAAATGCTAAAAAATTCTAAATCTGGCACTTTCCTTCTTCGCTTTTCTGACTCTGAACTAGGTGGTGTCACTATTGCTTGGATGTATGAAGATACCACGAAAGGTATGTTTCAAATTTTTTATTACGCTTTTTAATATTTTTTTCTAAGGATAATCTTAACAATTTTAATAACACTAAGTTATTTCCATCTAGACAAACAGTTCTGTTGATTTATGAAGCATATATTGACAGTAATTTAATAAATTGGTATTATTATCATATATCTCTCAGCTGGTGATCAACGTGATGTCTTCATGCTGCAGCCGTTCACCAGTAAAGCCTTCGCTATCCGTCCTCTTGCTGATGTGATTGCTGATCTCAAGTACCTGCTCTTCCTTTATCCAAATATACCCAAGGAACAAGCATTTGGCAAGTACTACACACCTATAGGAGAACAACAACCATCAATTAATGGCTATGTGAAGCCTCACTTAATCACTCATGTCCCGGGGTAAGTATGACACTTATTATCTGTATTGTTTTCCTTGGCTTCATTTTTTTTTTAAAGCTACCCTAAATCTTAGATTCAGTGATAAGTGGCAAGGCAGGGCAAAGTAGGGCAGGGCAGGGAAAGAAACGGGATGAGAAAAGGCTAGACAAGGAGGACAGGGCAGGTCAGTGCCTGCTCTGCTCTGCACTGCCCTGCCTTGATCTACCTTTATAACAAAAAAAAAGGCTCAATACCGTGACTGGAACAATACACAAATAACCCGCACATAGAAGAGAGGAGCTTATGACAACATTTTGGTCCGACTTGGACTATTTACAAAGTTACACCGTGTGACTTTGTAAATGGTCCAAGTCAGACCGAAATGTCGTCGTAAGCTCTTCTCTTCTATGTGCGGGTTATTTTTGTATTGATCTACCTTTGATTATTGGGCCTTAACCTTGGGTAGTTTTTAAAATAGGTTGGACTATTATGTGAGTGGGAAGGGTTAGATGCAAGACCTGTCTTGCATGGGCCAATAGGCCTACTGTATTGCTCCTCTAGTCTTATGTCATATAATGATTGGGTGTGAATAGGACTTGCCTAACATGGACCAGTAGGCCTACTGCAACACTCCTTTACATTTATTTATTAATTGTTATATTTTCATTTCTTATCTTCCCTTGAGTTTTGGCTAAAATATGTTTAGAATTAAGAGCCATTTGACTGCTTTTAAAGTCCCTCAGACACTAGGGTAGAGTTATCCACATCATGGAGATAAATGGTATAAAATACTGCTTCTATTGCCTCTGTATTTGCTTGAAGAAGCATACTGTGTAGGAGAAATGTTTTGGAATGGAAGATATCTGCTGTTGCACATGTGTCTTACCATAAAGTTCTGACATGATGGAAGAGTAGACAGAAGTGCAGTATAATGCAATCCTTTATTGGCTAAATTTCACCCCTGCGGTGGACTTGATTAAGTCACAAACAGAATACTTGTGTGTATATTGGAAGCATAGTGACATGAAGGATCAGGTGAGGAATGTTGAAGTTGATGGCTGAGAAGAAGCTGAATTTGAATTTGAGAAGAAACCACCCACCATGGGCCAATAAGCTTGTTGTTATCTAGGATAATGATAAATTTCCTGGCAAGAGGTTCAGCTAAGTTGTAGAACCTCTTGTTAAGGTTGAAATTGTTAGAAATACAGACGAGTGATGATTCCAAGATCCTGTGTCTCAGGATGTTTTCTTTTCTGGCGATGAGTCTTGTGTCACTATACTTCATTATGTGGCTGTGCGAGTTTTGGTGTAAAACACAGGCATTCCTCAAGTCATCCATTCTGTGGCATATGATGTTCTGAAATACATGTTTGGAGGTCTCTGGATGTTTTGCCACATATAATTGGTTGCAATCTTTGCAACAGATTATGTATACTCCTGCAGAGGATTGAACCTGCATTACTGATGATATGTTTGGGGTGAATGTGGAGGGAGATACTTAGAATGTGGTTTTGGAAAAGATGTTGGAGACATGTTTGGGAATGGAGTTAGTAGGGAGGAATGTGTATCTTCTGTTAGCCATTTTCTCAACCATCAACTACAACATTCCTTACCTGAACCTTCACTTCGCTGTGCTCCCTATATGTACACGTATTTTATGCTCGGGTAGATCTGTTTGCAACTTGATGAAGCCCACTCTATGGGAAATACATTGTCAGTGAAAGATTTCATTACACTTCATTGGTGTTTAATCCATGTGATATATAAAAAAAAAAATCAGGATTTTTTTTTGTGGGGGAAAGATATCAAGTGCGTGAGCATTGCGTAGAATGAAAGGGGGTAAAACAGCTGGAACTGACAGGATCATGACAGAAATGTTAAAAGCAGGGGGGGATATAGTGTTGGAGTGGTTGGTATTTTTGTTTAATAAATGTATGAAAGAGGGGAAGGTACCTAGGGATTGGCGGAGAGCATGTATAAGGGACTATACATGCTCTCCGCCACTGAGTATACCAAGAAAAGTGTACGATAGGGTTATAATTGAAAGAATTAGAGGCAAGACATACTGTAGGATTGCGGATGAGCAAGGAGGTTTCAGAGTGGGTAGGGGATGTGTAGATAAAGTGTTTACATTGAAGCATATATGTGAACAGTATTTAGATAAAGGTAGGGAAGTTTTTATTGCATTTATGGATTTAGAAAAGGCATATGATAGTAGTAGTAGTAGTAGGTTGATAGACAGCAGCCGCCCAGGGAGGTACTACCGTCCTGCCAAGTGAGTGTAAAACGAAAGCCTGTAATTGTTTTACATGATGGTAGGATTGCTGGTGTCTTTTGTCTGTCTCATAAATATGCAGGATTACAGGTATCTCTTGCTACTTCTACTTACACTTAGGTCACACTACACATACATGTACACGTTTATTTATACACACTCATCTGAGTTTTCTTTGATTTTATCTTAATAGTTCTTGGTCTTACTACTTTTCCTTTTATATCCATGGGGAAGTGAAATAAGAATCTTTCCTCCGTAAGCCATGCGTGTTGTAAAAGTCAACTAAAATGCCGGGAACAATGGGCTAGTAACCCCTTTTCCTGTAAAGATTACTAAAAAGAATACGAAGAAGAAAATTGTCAAAGTGGGAAGTCTGAATGTGCGTGGATGTTGTGCAAATAATAAGAAAGAGATGATTGTGGATGTTATGAATGAGAAGAAGCTGGATGTCCTGGCTTTAACCCTTTCAGGGTCCGTCCCGTAGATCTACGGCTTTACGTTCAGGGTCCAAACCGTAGATCTGCGCCATGAGCTCAGCTCACTCTGATAAACTGTGAGTGGTACATTTGGGCCTAGATATGAGAGAGTACATCTATGTGGTATGTGTGCACCACATAAAACAGATCCTGCAGTACACTGTGTATAATGAGAGAAAAAAAATGAAATCATGATTTTTCGATTAAAACAGCAACTTTGCAGTGTGTTTTCGTATGTTTTTTATAGTTGTATTTGCGATTTCTTGGTCTCATTTGATAGAATGGAAGACATATTACAGAAATAGAGATGATTTTGATTGGTTTTAGCACTGGAAATGGCTTGAAACTGAGCTCAAAGTAGAGGAAATGTTAAATTTTTGCCGATATTCAAGAGTAAACAAACGACCTCACACGTCTAATACACGCCAGCTGGTGGGTCTAATATACATTCACAAATATGGTGATGATATTTATACAATTATTACAGTATTGCATAACAGTAAATCTTCTATTTTTTGGCGTGAATAAAAATTCATTATGTGAATAAAAAATAAAAATGGAATTTATTTGTAAAGCCTCAAAACATAACTAATGAACAGAGGAAATGTTAGTTTAGTGCCAGGAATGCCTACATTGTTCATTCTGGACCCTATTTTGAAATTGGAATATTTTGAACTTTGTGTTAAATTGGCCAAATTAACAATTTCCGATCACTTTATTTTGTAGTTGAAACAGTTGACTTGGCGATTTCTTGTGCTCAATCGATAGAATAGAAGTAATACTAGTGAAATAGCTAAGAATTTGGTTGATTGGAATAATGTAATTGGCCTAAAATGGGAGTCAAAGTCGGCAAAATCGTCGATTCGTAAATATCGCTGACACATCAAAATTCACGAGAGCATAATTTCGTCAATTTTCCACCAAATTTCATACTTTTTGTTTTATTACCTTCACAAAAAGATTCTCTACGATTTCATAAGAAAAAATAACAAATTTTTTTTTGAAAATTCTTGGACACTGGTGCGTGACTCCAGATTTGGGCCTTGGACCCTGAAAGGGTTAAGTGAAACAAAGCTGAAGGGGGTGGGAGAGTTTCAGTGGAGAGGAATAAATGGGATTAGGTCAGGGGTTTCAAATAGAGTTAGAGCTAAAGAAGGAGTAGCAATAATGTTGAAGGATAAGCTATGGCAGGAAAAGAGGGACTATAAATGTATTAATTCAAGGATTATGTGGAGTAAAATAAAGGTTGGATGTGAAAAGTGGGTTATAGTAAGCATATATGCACCTGGAGAAGAGAGAAGTGTAGAGGAGAGAGAGAGATTTTAGGAAATGTTGAGTGAATGCGTGGGGAGTTTTGAACCAAGTGTGAGAGTACGTGTGGTTGGGGATTTCAATGCTAAAGTGGGTAAAAATGTTATGGAGGGAGTAGTAGGTAAATTTGGGGTGCCAGGGGTAAATGTAAATGGGGAGCCTTTAATTGAGCTATGTGTAGAAAGAGATTTGGTAATAAGTAATACATATTTTATGAAAAGAAGATAAATAAATATACAAGGTATGATGTAGCACGTAATGAAAGTAGTTCGTTAGATTATATATTGGTGGATAAAAGGTTGATGGGTAGGCTCCAGGATGTACATGTTAATAGAGAGGCAACTGATATATCGGACCATTATTTAGTTGTAGCTACAGTTAGAGTAAGAGGTAGATGGGACAAGCGGAAGGTGGCAACAACAAGTAAGAGAGAAGTGAAAGTGTATAAATTAAGGGAGGAGGAAGTTCGGGTGAGATATAAGTGACTATTGGCAGAAAGGTGGGCTAGTGCAAAGATGAGTAGTGGGGGGGTTGAAGAGGGTTGGAATAGTTTTAAAAATGCAGTATTAGAATGTGGGGCAGAAGTTTGTGGTTATAGGAGGGTGGGAGCAGGAGGAAAGAGGAGTGATTGGTGGAATGATGAAGTAAAGGGTGTGATAAAAGAGAAAAAGTTAGCTTATGAGAGGTTTTTACAAAGCAGAAGTGTTATAAGAAGAGCAGAGTATATGGAGAGTAAAAGAAAGGTGAAGAGAGTGGCGAGAGAATGCAAAAGGAGAGCAGATGAAAGAGTGGGAGAGGCACTGTCAAGAAATTTTAATGAAAATAAGAAAAAAATTTAGAGTGAGTTAAACAAGTTAAGAAAGCCTAGGGAATGTATGGATTTGTCAGTTAAAAACAGAGTAGGGGAGTTAGTAGATGGGGAGATGGAGGTATTAGGTAGATGGCAAGAATATTTTGAG